AGCCCGGGATCAGCTTTGCGGCGCTGCCACTCTGAAATGCAAAAGCAGCGTTCAAAGGGGCAGTGCCGCACAGCTGATCCCCGGCTCAGCTGTGTGGCGTTGCCACGCATGGAGCCCCGAGTCAGCTGGGAACTCCCCAACCCGGGATCAGCTGGGAGTCCCCAGCTGATCCCAGGTTCTATATGGCATTCAAATTGGCAGCGCAGCATGGAGCACGTGGTCAGCGATGGACTCTGAGTCCCCCGCTGACTCCAGGCTCCATGAGGGCGCTGCTGCTTTGAAATGCACAAGAGCCTCCGCTGGGATCTCTTGTACATTTCAAAGCTGGCACGCTGCATGCAGCCTGGAGACAGTGGGACTTCCCACTGACCCTGGGCTGCACGTGGAGTTCCGCATTCCTCCTTGGAAATGTGTAAGAGCCCCAGTAGGAGCTCTTGTACATTTCAAAGGAGGAATGCGGAAGTGTCTATCAACTAGTCAAGTAGTCGGAAATTCCTAGTAAATTAACCGTTACTTAACATCCTTAGTAGCTGCTAAAGTTTTACATTGTTTTATTTTTGAGCACAATTATGTAACAAAAACTAATCTACATTGTAAGTTGCACTTTCATAATGAGATTGCACGACAGTACCTGTATGAGATGAACTGAAAATTATTCTCTTTTTTTTTTACTGCAAATATTTTTAGTAAAAAAGTGAGCACTTTGCATTTTATGTTGTCATTGAAATCAATACTTTTGGAAATGTAGAAAAACAATATTTTTAATAAATTTCAATTGGTGTCATGGCCCCTCCATGCTTATAAAAATTGGCTTATGAATATGAATATGTTTAACTCAAAGATGCTTTAAGCAAAATGCATCATGTAACACATCATCTGAATGTGTATATTCTATTTCTGTGCACGTATCATTCTTCTGTGTCAAGCCACCTGATGCTGGAACCCTTTTTGGATCTTGTACTTTTCCACTCATGATGAGAAAAGTTTGACCTGAACACAAAGAATTTCCACCACACAAAAGGGATATAAAGGTGGCAAAAGGGATATAAAGGTGGGAAAACAAACAATAACGGGGTGGCCAGATGCCAGGAGACCCCTTCCCTTTACCATCCAAAATGCCTGCTAGAAACATCTACATCAGAACAGGGAGAAGAGTTGGGCCCGTGCTAAGAGGCAGCTTAGTTTGTGAAAGAGGTGATTAGAACCACTATTAGGTTAAAAATTTGCATTTAACAAGTTTCTTAGCATATAGGGTTCACTGACGTGTTTTATTTTGGCTTTTTACTTTGATCTGCCTGTTATCACTTGCAATCACTTAAATCCTTTTTATACTTAATAAAATACTTTTGTTTATTATCTAGCCCAGCGTAAATAACCGTTACTGGGGAAAGAGAGGGGAGCAAACACTGTGTATATCTCTCATTTGTAAAGGGGGTAGACTTTATGAGCGTTCTCTGTGTAAAACTTTTATAAAGAGTAAGACACATTTATCTGGAGTTTTGGTCCTCTTTGAGGCTGTGTTCCTGGGTTCAGCCAATGACCTTATAGCTGAGCCTTCCCAGAGCTGAGCTGCTTGAGTGTCTGTGTTGCTCTGCTGGGGTGCTATTAACTCACCTCTGCCTTGGCAGAGAGAAACCACAGCTTCTGGTATACTGTCACAGCAGGACAGTAAGATAGGGTACCCCAGAGAGCAGGTAGGTGGACATCAGTGACATGAACAGCACAGAGGGTAAGAGTCCCAAGGGGCCCTCTGATCAAACCCATCACAATTGTTGTTCTCAGAGGAGTAGCCATATTAGTCTGTAACTTTAAAAACAAGTAGTCCTGTGGCATCTCATGATACTATATATGCATTTTTGTTAGTCTCTAAGGGTATGTCTACACTACCCTCCTAATTCGAAATAGGAGGGTAATGTAGTCATACCGCAATTGCAAATGAAGCCCGGGAAATTCAAATCCCGGGCTTCATTTGCAAATTGCGGTATGACTACATTACCCTCCTATTTCGAATTAGGAGGGTAGTGTAGACATACCCTAAGGTGCCACCGGACTATTCGTTGTTATTTAACAGTGCAATTCAAACTGTGATTAATCACAATTAATTTTTTGGGTCAAGGTAATTTGTTTTGAGTTAATTGCACGAGTAAACTGTGATTAATTGACAGTAGTAGAAACTTTCCATGCTTGGTCTCATAGGAGTTGGAGCAAAATTTGTTCCTGTCAAGGAACATGTGTTTATTAAGTGGTTAAACAGGACCTAGCTAACCAGGGCCCTGATCAAGGTCTCAAGGGGCTACTGTGATACAAACTGTAATAATATCCACTGAGTTTTGATGGAAGCATGTCAAAGATCCTGGCTTCTCCTCCGCTGACCCACAGAGCCTCAGCTTAATTAAGAGGATGGGGAGGGCCAAAGGGCCCCTACTGCTCACTTTTACATCTCCCCTAACCCAGTTCTGCCCTCTTCCATCAGTAGGGAGAGCATCAGCATGCAGCCTAAATCAGTGGCAACGTGCGGGGCACAAGGAGGCACGTGCACCCTTCAAGTGCCAGGGCAGGAGGGGCAAAGGGCCAGCCAGCCAGGCTGTGTCTAGACTGCATCCCTTTTCCGTAAAAGGGATGCAAATTAGACACATCGCAATTGCAAAGGAAGCGGGGATTTAAATCTCCCCCGCTTCATTTGCATAAACATGGCTGCCGCTTTTTTTCCGGCTCAGAGCTTTGCCGGAAAAAAGCGCCAGTCTAGACGGGGATCTTTCGGAAAATAAAGCCTTTTCCGAAAGATCCCTTATTCCTTATTTTAAGAGGAATGCAGTCTAGACACAGCCCCA